TGCTGGACTCCCACCAGCCTCTGAAGGGGATCAGGTCCCACCATGATTGAAGGCGATGGGGGGGAGAGAAACTAAAGGGGGGGAGAGACTAAAGACAGCCGATTCCCTCCCTCTGAACAGGCACCTCTGAGGTTTCCAGCTGAAGTCGGGCAAGGGCGCTCCTCCCGACCTCCACCCCCACCCCCTACCGTTCTGGGCCCGGGTCTGGTTGCTGCGCTTCCTCATGATCTCCAGGTTGTTCTTCATGACGGCCAGGTTGCCCAGCGCCCCCTGGACCTCGAAACTCATGTGCTGGGCGAAGTAGGGCAGCCTCCAGACGTTCTCCTTCTGGGCCCAATCCACGTGGAAGATCTCCTCCTCGTCGAAGCTCTGGAGGAATTCGCCCGACTCTGGCCCCGAAGGGAGGCTCTCCTGGAAGAAGTCCAGCTCCGCCTCCTTATGGACTGGGGGGGTCGGGGGGGGAGAGAGAGAGGTGGAGGAGAGGGGAAGAAGCCGGGCAGGGAAGGAGGAGAAGAGGAGGAGGGTGAGCATGACGGAGGCCCTGGCAGCCTCCCAGCGGAGGAGAGGGGTCCCGCCGCCCCCTCCGGGCCCCAGAAATGCCCGGGAGGAGCCAGAGGGGCCCCCCCGGCATCTGCGAGGGAAAAGATAGGTCGCTCCCTCCCACCCGGCATAGGGGGTCACCTCCCCTTTTCCCTGTCTCGTTTCCACCCCCGACCCATGCCGCCCCTGGAGGTTTCTGCCTTCTAAGGCTCCCAAGAAGACGCCTTCTTCTTGGGAGGAAAGCGATGACAAATCTTGACAGCATCTTGAAAAGCAGAGACATCACCTTGCCAACAAAAGTCCGAATAGTCAAAGCTATGGTTTTTCCTGTTGTGGGTCACCTCCCCTTTTCCCTGTCTCGTTTCCACCCCCGACCCATGCCGCCCCTGGAGGTTTCTGCCTTCTAAGGCTCCCAAGAAGACGCCTTCTTCTTGGGAGGAAAGCGATGACAAATCTTGACAGCATCTTGAAAAGCAGAGACATCACCTTGCCAACAAAAGTCCGAATAGTCAAAGCTATGGTTTTTCCTGTTGTGATGTATGGAAGTGAGAGCTGGACCATAAAGAAAGCAGACCGCCGAAGAATTGATGCCTTTGAATTGTGGTGCTGGAGGAGGCTCTTGAGAGTCCCCTGGACTGCAAGGAGAACAAACCTATCAGTTCTAAAGGAAATCAACCCTGACGGCTCACTGGAAGGACAGATCCTGAAGCTGAGGCTCCAATACTTTGGCCATCTCATGAGAAGAAAAGAGTCCTTGGAAAAAACCCTGATGTTAGGAAGGTGTGACAGCAAGAGGAGAAGGGGACGACCGAGGATGAGATGGCTGGACAGTGTCTGTGAAGCAACCAACATGAACCTGACACAACTCCGGGAGGCAGTAGAAGACAGGAGGGCCTGGCGTGCTCTGGTCCATGGGGTCACGAAGAGTCGGACACGACTAAACGACTAAACACACACAAGGCTCCCTAAGCCGCCTTGGTTCCCCCCGCGTTGAAAGAAGGCGGCCCACAAGGGCCGTGATCCCGATTCAGAACCGGGACTTTTTCCTCGCCCTCACCCTTCGTCCGGCGGGGCTTTACCTCCCCAGCTACCCAGTTGGGAAAGCTTTGTCTGGGGCAGAGTGCTGGGGCTGGGACGGGGGGGGGTCCGTCTGGAGGTCCCACGAGGTTCCCTCCCCTCCCCTCCTGCCCGGACAGCGGAGACACTCC